CTTTCCCTTCGTCTCTCTCTTCTTTTGTGATCCTATCGGACGAGCGCGATAAAACAAATATCATGTCATCCGTCGCGGTACATATTTCCCCGTTATAGGACAAGCAGATATTTATTTCCGAAGGAAGGAATTCATAGGGCAGATAAATCTAAGAAAAGATACAGAGCAGGTTGCAGCAACGACACGAAGGGGTTGAAATAACCACGCCCATATTCTAATCGATTTTATCGTCCACTTGATTAATGAACGCATCTCCAATGGAATCGAAAATAATCGCGTATAGTGAAGACATACGAAGCAGAAATTAACAGTCCAATCGACTCTTTTGTTGTGTAATTTTTCTCCGATGCATATCTGATTCTCTTCTTTGAAACTTTTTTCTTAAGAGAGACGACGCTTCGTTGATGGAAGACTGAAAAGTTACGAGGAATGAAATGAATTAACTCGTCGGTCATGAGGGAAATCCGAGGATGCATAGCACACAATCAACCAATTGAAATCGATCTGCATGGTTGTACCACTGCGCGCTGGCTAACGAAGTCCGTTTCGGCATATACTAGAATGCGGCTATTCTCTCCTCTTGTTTCCGAAGTAACGTAATAAATATATACATTTATTGGCTGCGGAAACGGTGGAACGCGTATTCAGTACGTGCTGTTAACTATAATGGTTATTTGCTTCTTCTTAAATCCAATCTTAAATTTGATTGGGTTCGAATCAATCAAATTATAAGATAGTTATCACACATCCTGTCTTAAGAAGATCGGATGTCATTCAAAAATAAATTATTTTATATATAATTTATTTTATAAACAAAATTATTGCATATAAAATCTAAAGAAATTTAATATAAAATAAAATAAAGTAAAAATATTATATAATAATTTGATAAAACATATAATTATTTGATTATAATAATAATAATCTTGTTACCATTATTTCCAAAATTTATCTTATCATGTGTAAAATAATTTTATTCAGAAATTGTTAGTTCATTGTTTCATAATTAATTAGACAACATCAATAGCATAATTAATTACGCAATGATATTAATATAATATAATTCAATATTCTCTTAAAAGCGATTAATTGTATATCGTATTAAAATATATTAAACTATGACAATCTCTCTGTTGCAAAGGAAAAGTAAATCAAATAATCATTATTTAATTACATAAATGTTTTTTTAATATTTACCTCGGGAAATTTTGTGCGAAAAACAATGAAATCATTAGTTAAAAGCTGTGTTATACGTCTCGGCATCAATTTCTCTTGATGCTCTCTCCTTCCGCTTTTCCCTCCATTCTCGAAATAGTGCGATAAATATAAGGCCCCGCACTTGTAACACACTGCTTAGCTATAATAACGTTCTTCCGTACCTCTCCAATTCGCCCTTAGAGTAATTTCTCCCTCGGGCAGTTTCTCAGAGAATAAAGAAGCGTAATGTATGTGGAATGTACTTTCATGACAATGCACCGTACTTCAAATAATAGTCCACTGTAGACGTAAGGTTCAGTCTCACTTAACAGCATTACATGACACTTCATTAAACGTTAAAGCATCAATTTTATCGCTGATATAAATGGGCGATAATTGCGCTCCACTTTGTGAATTTTCTTTCTTATACTTTGTGTTGCAGCCATTTTTTAAATACATTTTCTTATTTAAGATTAATTCTCATCAGCGCTTCCGTTCGGAGCTGCAATTTTTTTAACCAAGCGCACTTATCTCGTGCTGCAATGAAATATGCATTTCGTCGGGTTATAGATATATTTTCTCTACCATCGCATCACATACGTGTCGCGTTTGTATGTGTACAGCCGGTGACTCACTGACTGGATGCAAATAATGTAGGTATATAACAAAAAGTACTATTTTTTGCAGATCACTCCTAATTCATGCTGCACCATGATTTATGCATTTCATGCTGTACTCGCTCTACTTTTTGACCAACTGGCGCTTGCATTGCCCTAGTATACAGTGCGTTTTACTTAAAATTCGAAAATGCAAATATCGTCCTTCACGGTGAATAACAAAAAAATACATTCCAATAACGACTTGCAGTGTATGATGGTCGGTATTTTATTTATTTTTATATTTTTCCGTGGCTACTTTTAAAAAAAACCTGGAATAAAAATACGTTAAAAAAGAATAATTAAATGGATACTAAAATTCTAATATATTTCTCTCTGTAGAGAAGAATAATTATTACGAATACAAATATATATTCCAATTCGATTGAATAAATAATTCGAGCTTTACAAATAAAAAATCATAGTTATAGAATAGAAATAAATGGAGAAAGGTATATTAACACACACAAATCTCTGTAAAGATAAAATAATAGGTTAAAATGTAAACTTTCGTGATCATGCTACCACTTCAAAAATTGATTGTTCTATCGTTCAACGAACGAATTGTACGCACGTGTGCAAATCCCGCGCATATAGATATACACATAGAAATACACACACACACACACACACACACACACACACACACACACACACATACACACACACACACACACACACACACACACACACACACACACACACACACACACACACACACACACACACACACACACACACACACACACACACACACACACACACACTATATATATATATATATATATATATATACACGTTCACAGGATACTTAATACCGTTACACGCAAGAATATGAATGTACTTGCATTTGCATTCTTTCCGTTCTCGCTGCGCCATCGATTTTCTGCATCGATGAACGCCTATAGGCCACGGAATTGCGATCGGTGCAGTTTCGCGCAAAAGTCGACAGTTAAGAAAAAAAATGGATTAACTACGTACTCATTGTTCCGAGAGCACCGCCGAATGCGCGGCGCTCAACCAATTTGAATCGATCCTACAGGGCTCGCTGACGTCAATAAAAGCGGCTCTTGAATGAATGCATGCATCGCCGTCTGCCTTTCGCACGCCTCTTTTTTCACGCAATTTTCGCCGACACGGATCGCTCTCACAAGAAATAAAACAGCAAATAATTTACGTCATAAAGATTGAATGCATTTTTCAAACACAAAAGCTTCCGTCGCGCATGTGATATTTAATTATTTATATATTTTAATTTAATTTAATTTAATTATTTATTTTAATTATCTACCACATTTATTTATCTTTCTCTTTACATCCGCAATACGAGTATTTTTTTTTTGCGTAGTGCACGTTTCCTGACTGTCTTCTTATATTTTTTTCTTCTTTTCTCTCTCTCCCTTTTTCTATGGCGGTTAAATTCGCGAGTTTTTAAGTAATGTCCACGATATATGCATATGAGCGACATAACTTTATCTATTTATATGCGATACAAATGCAAATGCATACGGGATAAATGCTTATGCAGATTTTGCGACACGGCTTGTGAATTGCAAAATCGCCGCGGTCTCTAAGATCGTTCCAGGATCGGGAGAAGTCATCCCATGTTGACATATAATTGCCCTAGTGTATAATTTTTTTTTGGCGCATTTATTGGAACATTTTCATTGCCTGGACGCATTTTGAGAAACATGGAGGCGTGATGGATGCGACTGTAATTTCGCACGAGTGTAAGCTTCCTCGGGGGTGGTAAATTTGAATGCATTATTTATGTATAAAATACACCGCGTGTGTATTTAACACATTAACAATGAAATTACATTTATGAACATATTTATGAGTTTAAACGCAATGATATTAGGTTGACATAAATAATGTATCTCTTATAACGAGTAATCTATCATACTTATATCAATTTATGAAATATGCATGTATCTTTAATTAACATGTTTGTGTTATATTCCTATTTCATTGTTATGTGTTATCGATGAATTATAATTGTAATGGAAAAATATTTGATATAAGCAGATTCGATAATTTAAAAAAAATAAGAAGTAAATAACGATAAATTAAATATATGTTAGGTAAGTCTTTATTTTACATATACGAAACATTTTAACAATTACTATGTTGCATCTAACCGATATATATTTTCGCCCAAAGAATAAACCTTCCGATAATGACAGCGTTGGCAACGTAAAGCGCGCAAATTGATTTATAGCACTGCGATTTACTACTATTTCAGGTTCACTTATTCCGGCCCTAGAATACTAGAATTTCGTGGATCTACTGCACTCGCGCGGTATTTGTCAGTTCTCACGTTATGCCATACATGTTCGTCGCGTGGCAAGTAGAAATTCTCGTCGAATATATCCAACATTCGATCCCGTCACATTTTCCGATGCGATTTTTCGTAGCCATCATGCCTCATACGTGCCAGCATGACGGTTGAGTCTTACTCTTTAGAAAGTATCGGCTACATCGATCGTGCATGTACAATTTATGTGCAACGAAACGGGCCGCGCGCGATTCCGGTTCATGGCACGAGTTCCCGTTGTCCATCTTCACAATCTCCATGTCCTGCATCCCTCGAATCGTTTCTCTCGATAAAAGAAATTACCTGACTGTCACCTGCGACATCGATTTATGTCCTAGAAGACTGGCGATGTATTTCAATGAACGATGCAACAGAAATATAAATATCGATCAAGTCAAGAGTTTCAAAAAATTGTTAACATATATTAATAAAATTGATAATTATGCATAATTATTTGATTTGAGTAATCTGTATTTTTATTTAGTATTTATAAAGCGTGCGAAAAAAGTAGTAAAAATATTAAAAGTTAGTAAGAGTTGCATGAAATTAATAAAATTGAAAAGCCTTTTGATAGCCTAGATAAAATATAACATTATCAAGATAACAAATGCGATATTAATTATAAAATACCAAATGAGATATTATAAATAACAATGTCAATTATAAATTTACGCATAATATTTGCACATGATTTCTGTTCTTTATTTAACCCTCAAAAAAGTAATGTGATAAAGGTAATGCGAGACGCGCTCGTTCGCTCAACTTCATCTGCTTAGCAGGCCATGTACCTGCTGTACACCCGATGCATTTCCATCATCGCATGGAGTTAAAATTCTCCGGAAGTCGCGCGCGTCATTTCCTCGCTCTATCGGGTCGCGTCGCGATTTTTCGAGACGCCGCACTGTCTTTATGGAGTGCGCGCGCGAAGCAGGTGTGCGCTCGTAGCATCTTCGAATACCGAATGCCTTCGGGGATCGTATATAGGTTTATCTACCTACCTCGGAGCGTCTCTCCGAGCGTGGTGCACGCTTATTGAACGATATCCGGATGCAAGTGCAGCGCGATACGGCATATCCGATGCCGACGCCCTGCGTCGCTTTCACGCGCAGATGAGATTTCTCGTTGCAGCTACCCAATTATCGGGTTGCAGGTCGTTAGCGACTCCCAAAGAGTTTTCACCGCACAATACGATGGTCTTTCGCTAACGCGTCCGCCAATTATTCCCCAATCATCGCGAAAATATATCTCTCTACATTGCGTAACGAATTACAGATTATGAACTTTGCTGTTGCGACGATGTCGCACACTTCCGGAGATTATTTGAGCAAAGTTGCGAAATACCGTTGCTTCGAATCTTCGAAGAAGCGAAATAAAAATCGACTTTTCTGTGAGATTGAAAAAAAGAGAGAGAGAGAGAAAAAAGCATACTAGAGCGGTGCGGGCAACAAAAGCCGCGGTGCTTGCTTTGATTTGAATATTTTAATGGCACCGCGTATACGGCAGCGCTTCTCCGCAGTGCTCCAGCGCGGTATTAATGAACGAGAAATGGACGGAAGAGGAAAGAAAAAAGAAGACGAATTGTTATGTAATTTTTTTTCTACTATAAGTCGGTCGCCCGTTCAATATGGTGCGACTACGGATGATGAGAAAAAAATTGCGTTTGATGTAATGACGGTGCTCTGCGAACGTTTCGAGTGCATCAG